AAGCTTTTGAAAATAATATTATATTTTGGTTTAGGTCAAAATATAATATTTGTAAACCTGAAGAGTCAGTGCCAGTGCCTCACCAGCCATGAACCTCACTGCACGTCACTGCAGAAGCTATAGACATCTAAGTTTTTTGTGCCCCACCACTTTTGTACATATAAAAACGCCACTGTCTATGATCAACTGTACCTTCATTTAATATTCAGCAGTAATAATATCTCAACGTCTATCGATGTAGTGTTAAAGTCCGTACGTTTTGGTGTATAACACTCCATGTCATTTTCACTTTACATTCAGAAAACGTAATATTAGCCACATGCTAACTGCTAACCGGCTATGAAGGATTTTCAGAATAAAAGCTTGGCATTGATTTCCTGAGAACTTCCAGGTTTTTCCACAATAAAACAGCTTTAAACTGACGATATGTTTTAGACTGAATTATGCTGTTTAATATTGATTTTAATTTCTAACAATATCGATAGCAGCGTCCCTAGCAACCACCTTGGTAAAAATGAAAACGTTGTATTTACACAATTTCCTGAAGTATTCTTCGTAATAACTAGCAAACTAAAGATCATGTACATCCACTGCACACATAATCTGAAATAACAACTCATATTTCTCGCATCAAATGACATCAAAACGCATTTTAATGGCCAAACTAACCTTAAAATAGGCATTTTCTACCGAGAATAAAACGAAGGTCGGCCATGTTTTTTTATTTCTGCGGAGAGAAAGTTGAAGATCACGTGACATAGACGCCAGCCATTGGAAATGAATGGTGAAAAAAAACGTAGGGATCCTACAATTTCAGAGGCGTTTTTGTAGAAATACTACGTCCCAAGTTGTGGACCAACGTAGTTATTACACGTTTAGATGTGAGTGTCACTTGCCATGCACAGACATTTTTTTCAAGGCCCTTTTGGTGTGGAATTAAGCATCCAGACACCAAACGAATCAGAAAGAAGTCTGGCAGATTTATCTCATTCCATCCGTCTGAACCCTGTATGCTTGCTGTCATCTCAACAAAAAAGTCTTTATTTTTAGATGACTGTTGGGCTATACTTGTACTCAAGTCTGGTCCTTAGGCCCCTTTCTGATGTCTTTCACTTGTCATACACTTGTGTTTTATTTGACCAGATCTTGTCACAGTCAATCTTTCTTTCAGGTTATCCCATTTCACTTAATCTGTTAGTTTGGGGCTTTTTTTAATTAACAGATAAATTACAGGATCTTGGAAATGCACCGTAATGTACCTGTGGCATGTTCTAAGGTGAAGATTATAGAGTAGTAATTTTAAGGCTTTCTTTATTCGGACTATAAACCAAATAGATTGAAAGGTCTTCAACTGTCTGGAGAAACATCTCAACTTAACTGAAAGCTGTGAATTCATTTTTTGACCACTATTTGGGCAGTAAAACATACAACTGACGCACAGCCATAATAGTATGCAATGGCTTATTACGTTGTTATTGATTAAGCTGATTGGTTCCTAACACAAGTAGCAATGGGAGATGGCTTTCTGGTCACATGACACATTTTAATTGAGCAATTACCAGCTGGTTAATTCTGTTTTAGTCTCTATTAACTTCCAAATGTTACGCAGAGTTATTCAATTGAATGTTTCTATCAAAAATGTACATAAGAAGATTAAAAACATTGACTAGATGACAGTGTAATTGCAGATGTTGGACTTGAAAAGGTCCTGATTTATTCTGGTCATGTTATTGGCTCAGTCTTAACCCCCTTGGGAACTGGTCTTAAGCAGACTTGGAATCGAACCAGCCCTTCCTGACCGAAACTGACATGGAGTGAAAAATCACAGTGACACACACTTTACTTTTCCGCATGATAAGTGCTATAGATTTTAGTGTTAGCTTATTGATTAACTGACAAAAAATGAGTTATTATGCACTTTACCAAATGCCTGTTAAGCAGAAACCCCACAGCACTCAATCAAGCCATGGCCAAGAGCAATGTGTTGATCAATGGACACTACAATTCAGATTTCTCTTTAGTAACTGGATGCGTGGCGGAAAAAAACTGCTAACTGCAGAGAAAATTAAATTGTGCGAGAGACTGAGCAAACAACTTAAGACTCAACACTTTCTGTCCTCAAAAGTTGACATGACAGAAATAAAACAATTCTTGTGTTAAAAATCTAACTGCCCAAGAATATTTATTCCACTACATTTTCAAAGTGTGCCGTAATTAATCAAAACATACCTTTCTTTCATGATTACCACTTCAATTATCAAACCAATTCCTAACATCTTACATCATTTTTTTTTTAGAAAAGGCCTACTTTATTATATTATATTACACACTGACATCAAAGTACTCATAAATTGTGTAATTCAGTCATTCAAAGAGGCTAATCTGTGAATACTTAAAAGAGGCTTGAGGGTGTAGAACTAACCAGAAAAAAACATGTGTCAAAAAAAATCGTCTTTGTGATTAATCATTGTTGAGCCTTTTTAGAAATAGAGTCTTTGTCAGACAGTGGGGGGAAATCTGACTTTATCAGTGTCACTTTTCACACAAAAAAAGGTGTATTCCTTAGAACTGCCAGTATGATTCTTCAGAAGTGTTTCTGACGTCGGGTTAGGGGAAGCTGTATCCAATCATGTCTGTTACTTCCCAAAATTGACCATCCCTCACTCACACTCACTTCATGTCGTGATTAACCAGCTGGGAAGAGGTGAGAAAAGAGCCAGGATCTTTCTTTTTCTAATTATTCATTTTTTTACACCTATTTCTGTCACTTTTCATGTGATAAACCCAGGGCAACACTATATTTCCCTGTTGCAAAAAAACATTCAAACACCCATGATCATCTGGATTTTTCTCAAGGGGGAAAGGTGGCAATGACTCTGCTGAAGTCCCAGGTGTTTATTGGCAGTGATAGGCAAGGTGAAAAATATAAGCAACCCTAACATCTTCACTAACTTCACAAACAACAGAAACATAAAAGCATACTCGTGGGGAAGGAGTTGCCAGATCAACTCTTTGCGTGGCGTTTACATGTCCTCCCTGTGGATAACATATGTTTGTGAGCAATTCCTCCACCAATCTGTCAGGAGGATTTCAGGCGTGAACTGCTGATGAGTATTAATGCAACAGTCTATTCATACTATCACTGGGACAGGTATCCAGGCCGTGAACGAGGAAGAAAATGACATAAATAAATGAAGTTCACAAACACTTAGTGATTTGCATCAGAAACAAATGTTAAACCACAAGAAACAATGTCAACAACGCAACCACACATGCTGTCTCTAATTTGTCAAAGTGAAGCGTCAGAGGCTTGATGCCAAAGAGATGTGTGACATAGATCACACTAATGGCTGCTCAGTGTTTTCCAAAAACAAATTATCCACAGCTAACGACACAATTTAACAGTTACCGCTCTTGATTTTGTCCTAATCTGATCCCTTGATCTATTGTTAATGTAACTTTATTATATAACATCTTGCATTTAGGTAGGCATATCAAATGTGTTTAGGTCAATCTGCATACATGGATGCATACATCTATATTAGGAGGCTATATAGGTGTTATAAGGAAACATAAATTAGATACAACCAGTGGTGCAAATACATCCACCAACAGTTTTTCAACCAATATCAGTTCCACATGTCAGAATTTCATTGCAGCTTGAAATGTTTTTCCATGCCTCATTACCAACCTGCTTTACACGAGGGAGGGCACACACATTTCCCTGACTGTGACTGAAATGGTACATTAAATGTGCTTTCTTTGAAATTGTTGTCACTTTTCAGAGTGTTAGCCCCTTGTCATATTATCTGGTCAGTCAAGACTATTTAGTATTTGTGCCTCATTTTTGTGTTTCTACTGCTATAAGATAACAATATGACATAGCAGTTATGAATGAACTATAAAGAGCTAAAAGTGCTTTCACAATGACCAGTAATGGATGATTTGTCTTTATTTCTATATGGGAACACTTACTTTAATGATGACAGGACTACTTTGACAGCTTGGCAGTAAGAGCTATTGCCATAGCAACCATTTGGCCAGCCAATGAGATTAAGTTTTCCCTTTCCCCAATGATGGCCCACTAGTAGATTCCATCTACTTGGCAGGGATCATTGTGATATGTGTGATATATAGGTATTGTAGTCACACAATCTCTCTTTAACACACACACACACACACACACACACACACACACACACACACACACACACACACACACACACACACACACACACACACACACACACACACACACACACACACACACACACACACACACACACACACACACACACACACACACACACACACAGAAAATGTGAAACAGTTCATTCTGAAATTCCTGAATGAATGAAATGAATAATCTGCATTTGTACAAACTTTGATGACTGTGCGATGACAGAAAAAAGTTATCTCCAGTCTACTCGGGTGATGTTTTACTTGAGTTGGTCTCTGCATAGACATCATCTATTATTGTTACTTATATTCTTGCGAGGAACAGATAGGCATACTACTCTTGACTGAATACATTGAAAAGGGCCTTTTAGAAAATGTTACGTTAGTATGGAGGCTTCTTGGCAGTTCAACAAAGCTACATTCATGGACCATGAATTGTAGTGTCCATGAGTCAGTCTCATTGCCATAAAAGCTCTGTTTACTTATATAATCAAAGTCCAATGTTAAGACATTATTTTAGAATATGCCAAGTAAAGAAAATACAGGTTAAATTATTTTAGACGTCTTTCAAATAGTATACCTTCATCATATTTAATTTATAGTGTTAACACATTTGAAACTCCTCCAACTTTGTGGTGTTGACGTTTATATTTATGAGTTGTTTTTTTAAGTGATGCTGACGTTGTGGGCGTGGCTTTCAAACTACGGGTTGCGTCAGGAACTGCTTCCGGTGGTCACGTAAGGTAGGCTTCAGCCATAAACAGTGTAAATAAAGGGGGATAGCAAACGTACAGTAAGCGCCAGGGGTGCTGTGTGTTTAAGAACAGTTTGTACACTAACCGCATGTTTCATCCAGGCCAACACATCGATTACATTTTGGCCGTATTTTCTTTTTTATCCATGTTTGCTCGAGCAGGATCTCTATCCAGGGTGGCATGGACCGGCTGCCGAAGGTCATTTTCGCCAGCTTGACTGATACATTACCTTGCTCGTTGAATACGATTAATAAAACATCAACAAACTATTATATAATAAACCTTTCACCCAATTATACGTACCGTTAGTAATCGTTCTCTGTTGTTAACTTCGCCTCTCGCAACATTACCGTAACGCAGCTTTACCTTGCTGAAAAGTAACTATTCACAACTGCTTCACATAATTCAAAGTTTAGTGTGTTTCAAAATGCCAAACACACATTTGTGTCATTTTTACGAATCCATGGATTCATATGGCCAATTCGGCTTGCATGTCAAACTTAAAAAATGCATAATTTCGTAAAACTAAGACGACCTTTATCATTTGCATGACTGTTGTCAACGTGTAGCTAGCGTTATGCTACAACTATTATCTCCCACCTAACATATAGAAGCAATAACACACATTTCGTTTTAACTTAGAGGTTTAGTGGGAAGCGAATTAAATGTGTACCGAATTTAAAATGAGTTACTCACGTTTTATAAAACACTTACAGCCACGCTTTAAGAAGTGTTGTTGGTTTTCACTGCAGCGTGCAGTCTTGATTTTGCCACATTTTGAATGGAGATCGGCAAATCGCATGCCAACATAACATTTTAGCCAATTACTAGTGACAGTGAAGAGCATTTGTACTGCTAATCCTGGATTACCTAGCACATGAACCTTACTTCAGTAGTAGACCAGGCACAGTGTAATTTAAGACGTAGCCTAGCCCCTACACATATTACAATGTATATGGGCATTTTCAGACCAGCAGTGATGCTCCAGTTGTATATTATGTTGCTGCTAATTTTTAGGCTTCAGCTCGTTTCTTCCAGTGACTTCTTCAGGTTTTTTAGGTGTTTGCACGAACCTACTAAGCTGTGTCACTACTTGTAGTGTGTGTAATACTGGACTAAATGCCTTGGAATACTGTTTGATTCAATATTCTGATTTGTCTTTTTCAGAATGGGAAATTTTACATCCTCGACATCTGTGGCCGGTTCATCATGTGTACAGTATGTTCAGGTAAGTTATTGCTTGCAGATATGTTACCTGAAGGAAATGTAAAAACTGTTAGAACAGTTTTTACATAGTTGTTACATATCCTAACAACTATGTGTTTGATACCTTTTTTTTTTTCAATAGAAGTAACCAGTTTAGCTACACATTAAATTGTTTAGTGACTCCTTCTTTCAGTTAAAACCATTATAACATCTCCTGTTTCTCCACATGTTTCAGTAAAAAACTCATATTAAAGTGTACCCACAGTTCACTGTAACTAAACATTAACCATGGAAAATCTGCAGAGATAAGGTTTCTTTCACCTTTGCCCAGCAATTTACATAGGGCTCTGGTATTTGTAGACTATTTCTGTGTTCCACTGATATTAAATTACATATTTTTTCCCCCCGACCTTTCAGGAGATGGTGTCACAGAACTGTGTTGTGATATTTTCCAAGTCCACCTGTCCTTATTGCAAAATGGCCAAGAATGTGTTCAATGAAATTGGTGCGACCTACAAAGTGATTGAACTGGATGAGCACAATGATGGGAGGAGAATGCAAGAGGCCTTAGCTCAGATGACCGGTGCCAGAACGGTAAGAGCCTCAAGTTGTGTTTTGGGTTCGCAATTTCAATTTCACAGCCTTTTATTTTTGACTTGTTTTGTTTGGGCTGCATCCAAGGTTTCATGTCTTTATCTTGACTCAAATCTTCAACATAGAGACCAAAATAAGCTGCATCTTTGTCATACTATAGTCTTTAATGGTATCAAAATATAGACATTCAATTACACATTAGACATTTTTTCATTTTGGCCTGCCATCAATTTATCTACACATAAACATTAATTAGTGACATCTGATATGACCAACCTTCATACAAATGTGAAGGTAGCTGAAGGTTTTGTACAGTGCTTTAGTTTTTTAATAAGAAAGAGAGATTAGAGTTGGTGTTTACCAACAAAGGTTTTCATTCACACAACTGTATTTACACTTGCACTACTATATTTTCACTGAAAGGATCAGAATTTTATCGGATTTAATTTAGCTTATACTGATCCATAAAAATATGCTCAAACTCTCCCAGCACACTTATCCTTACAGACAGAGCCACATGACAACATTAGTTGTAGCAATTCCAATACACAGCTGCATAGACAATCGTATTGTCTACGTATCGACAATAGTAATTTTCCAATAGTCTTGCCAAACTCATCAGACTAGCAGTAAATGAATCTAGAGGGCTACTGTTCAGGATGTCAGGTGCCTTTATAACGCTTTGTTTCAAAACCTAATGGTACAACATGATCTATGTGTTAAGGTGCCGAGAGTCTTCATTAACGGAAACTGCATCGGGGGTGGCTCTGATACCAAACAACTCCATCAGCAGGGGAAGTTATGGCCCCTGATCGAGCAGTGTGCTCCCTGTTGCGCTTCCAGCTCCGACGGCTCGGGTAGCGGACAGTTTGAGTCAGCCAAATGACTAACCGTTCTTGTAGTTTTTTTCAATACGGTGTTTATGAAACATCTACTTGATCTCGTGTTGCAAGTTCAACATTGCTTGAGCATGACTATGTTATATATTTATCAAAGTGCATTGAATGTTAGGTTACATACCTTTTCATACAGGGATGTACAGTATTAGTGTTATTATTAAAGCTGCCATATTTAAAACAAAAACTGAACAGTCGAGACGATTTCTCTCATTTAAAGAACAATATCACAGTTATAAAAACAAGATCTCTCTCAGCATCATCAACACACTGTGAACATCATTGGTATGTGAGGTATTGACAGTTTGATTCAATTGAGGTCATTCTTCATATGTTGTACGATTAATGTAGCTTGTCATTTTGTTATGATTAGCACATCAACTTGTAAATGTATTTAAACATCCAATGTGAAAAACATTATGATTTTGTAAAACATTTTTTACCTAGCCGTCGAAGCATTTTAAAAGTCTACCTGAAATGTTAGCAGAAGCTATGTTATATTCTGAATTTCTTTGTTAAACCATCCATTTAACTTATATCAGGCTGTGGCTCAGTGGGATAATGCACTGAATTTAGTGTGCTGAACTTTGAATCAGGGGAGCACAGGTTCAAACCCCACTGCAGTCAGCATGTCGTTGTGTCCCTGGGCAAGACACTTCACCCCAAATTGCTCCTGTGGGTATTGTCCACAGTATTGAGTATGTAAGACGCTTTGGATAAAAGCGTCTAATAAGTAACATGTAATGTAATGTAATATCAGATGAATGAAAAGCCGATTGAATCATGATGCTGGTCCGTGTTATGAATACAAATATTTATGGTTGTATTTATAACAACAACTCTGAAATATTTTCTAAATGCCTGAAATGTGTATTTATGAATATTAAAAAATATGAATGAAACCACCATCTGCCTCCAATGTCTGGCTTGCCTTTTTCTCGAAGTGTGCTTCATTTGGCCCCCTCGTTCGCTTAGGCGGGCGGAAATTGATTAAACTCAACGAGTGGGCACAATACTTTCAGATATTGATCATGGGTTCTTATTTTTCTATTTATATACGTATAGTTGATACGTATGTAACCTTGAAACTTGTCTTTGTCGAAAACATTTTGGCAATATATTTTCTCAAATTAGTGTGGTTTTTGGATAGTATACGCTGTCAAATAAAACGAGCGCACCCATAGTCCCCACATTGCACCGCATCCGTGAGGTCACTAGTGTTTCAGTGAAATTAGCTTGACTAGCGGTAGTACTGCTAAGCTAGGATATTAGCATCTCGTATATGTGTAAGTAGGTTGAATAAACAACATTGTAAAGAATGGCTGGAAGCGCAGGAGAGTGGTGTCTGATGGAGAGTGACCCCGGCGTGTTCACAGAACTGATAAAGGGTTTTGGTGAGTGACTAGCTGCTCATTCAGTGCATGGTGGCTATGCGACAGCGCTAGCTAGCTAGCTAGCTCCTTTAAAGCTAATGGTAATTTGCAATCAGCTTCTATTGGTTTTCTATGCAATAATAAAAACAAGCAATAGATGTCAAATACAAAATATGTTAGAGGCTTTGTATTCTCAGCAACCACCAAAACGCTGCATTCTCTAAAAAGTTGCATGCAGTATTCGACAAAGCTAACTTAATGAGGCAAGCTAACTGGCTAGCATTACTCAGCGTTCAAAACAACGGCGCGTGAAAACAAATCCTCACTTATTAATGACATCTTTGTGCTTTGCTCTGCTGTCAACCCGTCACTGGGGACATATTATAATATGATATATATATTTGGTCCCATATGTTAACGTTTTTAAAAAGCCAGACACACCGTTCTATAATTATGAGTAATTATGTGATGCTGTATTTGTTCTTGCCAGGTTGCAAAGGCGCCCAGGTTGAAGAGATATGGAGTATGGAGCCAGAGAATTTTGACAACTTGAAGTACGTTCATACCTGCAGCTTCTATATATTTCATAATCCCTCTCAAGGCATTATTTTTTTAATATTTCGGTTCTGTTTCAGACCAGTTCATGGGTTGATTTTCCTCTTCAAGTGGCAGCCAGGTGAGGAGCCAGCAGGGTCTATCGTTCAGGATTCAAGGCTTGATCAAATCTTCTTTGCCAAACAGGTATTTATTTTATGTTATATAAACCTTTTTTTTGTTACACAATGTTGTGGTGTTTTAATATTCGAGTCATAGTTAGTCCTTAGCAAACAAAATGGCAACCTCTGCTTGGTTTTTACAAGTGTATACACTAGGGCTGTGCAATTAATCGTATTTTAATCGCAATTACGATTTTGGCCTGCCACAATTATGAAAACAACATAATCGAAAAAAACGATTATTTTGCTTTGCTAGGTTGGGACAGTGCAACATATTTGATCTAATTTATTTTAGTCTAATTTATTTTTATTTATCATATTTATATATGTTTAGTAGCTTGTGGAAGTGCGCTCCAAAATATTTGTTGATCTTGTTTATTGGTATTTATTATTTATATAAATGTATCATTTATTTTTGTATTGGTTTTTCAGTTGAATTATACGTTCAGGGTAATCAACAGTTAAAAAAATAATGTTCAAATTATTATTTGTATTTGTTTTCAAGTTCAATAAATGGATGTTTTTTTTAAAGTCAATGAATAATCGTATTTAATAATCGTGATATCAATTATTGACCAAAATAATCGTGATTATGATTTTTGCCATAATCGCACAGCCCTAGTATACACACATATCCCTACAGATGGATTGGAAGTATATGATATAATCATCAAATGCATCATATCATGAACACACTGACTACAAAATATAGAAACCCAATTAGTAAGTGTACATAACATAGGAAGATCTGGTTAGAAGATGATTTTTGATTTGATTAAGTTTGTTAATGAATACACAATGGGTTGGGGTTATGGATCTGTGTAATAATTAATGTGTTCTCTCTGTATGTTTTCAGGTCATTAACAACGCCTGTGCCACCCAGGCGATAGTCAGCGTTCTGCTCAACTGCTTCCATTCTGACATGTTGGTTGGGGACACACTGACAGAGTTCAGAGAGTTTTCACAGAGTTTCGACCCTGCGGTACGTTCACGGTATTTTTCCCTTGAATCCCAAAAAATTGTTTGGCAATTGCATGCATTAGTACAGGAATGTATTGTTTACCCATTCACAATAAACTATAAACCTTTAATTAAAGTGACACCAGCATTTACCTTCTAACTCAAGTACCAAGTGACCCAAAAATAAAAAAACAGCTTTTTCTCTCTTTATTACACAACTTGATATACTTATTTCACCACTTTCATCTCTAACACTTGACAGTTTCATCCTCTTACCTCCAAAACCTTGATGACTCGGTTGTCTGTCCCACACATGTTCAAAAGAACCAAGTGAAACTGCTCAACTTCTCTTTTGATCTTAAATGACTCAAAGCTGTCCTTTTTAAAACAAATATCTAAACCAGTTGTAAAGGGCAAATAATGGGAATAAATCAGGGTATCGTATAGAAGCAACCTGTGAGTCGTTTGATATAGTTAGTACCTTTTTGACACTACTTACATATCAACACTTATTGTAAGTATAACTTCTTTCTTGAAAAAAGGAATTTATAAGGGTCCCATTCAGCCTTTAATAGCACATCTTTAGGCAAATGTTATACAGTCAGCATTATAATCCTGTACCCCCCTCCTCAGATGAAAGGTCTGGCTCTTAGCAACTCCGAAGTGATCCGACAAGTTCACAACAGCTTTGCCAGGTAAGCTCTCGCTCCATCAACTCTGTTTGAATGACTTCTTGATATTTCTAGCTCTTTATTCTTACTTTGTGGAAAGTGATTGCTGCTAATGCACCTGTCTGATTTTATGCAACTTGCAAATGTGAGATTCGGTCATTTCTTGGTCACCATGTGAAGCCCTTTCACAACCTACTTAGTAATATATAACATCTTTTTTTAAAGGGTACATATTATGCTCATTTTCAGGTTCATATTTGTATTTGTATTTTGTTCCTCTACTGGGACATGTTTACATGATTTAATGTACAACAAGGTCTTTATTTTTCTCATACTACCTGTGCTGCAGCACCTCTTTTCACCCTCGGTCTGAAACCAGAGCCCAGTCTGCTCTGATTGGTTACCTGGCCGACTCTGTTGTGATTGGTCAACAGCTTAGAGATGTCCGCCCTTAACCTATCAAGTACAACGTGTTGGAGCATTAGCCAATATAAGCGAAAGTGTAACATAGTGATGTCACTGCATGTTACAGAAAAAAACAAATCAGTCCAATTGACAGGCAGGGAAGTGTGTGTGTGGGAGAGAAACTCCCTCTGCAGGGATTTTAGCCTTTGCAGACCATTTTTATGCATAATATCCTATATAACACATTACACGAAAGGGAACCCCCAAAAAGCATATAAAGGCCTCTTAATGGGTGACATGTTTAACATTTTCTACGTACGATATATTGACTTAGATTGGAGTTATGTTTGTTTTTCGAGCATTCCTAAATTCCAACCTGTTTCACGGCATCTACATGTGATGCAGGATCATTTTCTTTAAAACTGTGCCTTTTTTGTGTTTGCAGACAGCAAATGTTTGAATTTGATGCCAAGTCCACAGCGAAGGACGAGGACGCCTTTCACTTTGTGAGCTATGTTCCTGTAAACGGACGGCTATATGAGCTGGATGGACTCCGAGAGGGACCAATTGACCTGGGTAAGCAGAAAAAAAAGCAATTTGCTATTTTTTCCTTTTTATTGCTTTATACAATTTCATCTTGTTGGCCATGGCCCATTTCCTCTAAAACCGTCTGTTTTATGATGATGTACAGTGCAGCGACTGTATGTACAGACACCTGCAGTATTATCAGCTGTGGTCTGTGTTTTCATCAGGTGCGTGCAACCAGGATGATTGGATCAGCGCCGTTCGCCCAGTGATCGAGAAAAGAATACAGAAGTGAATATATTTTTTTCATTTATGTTGGATCAATCCTAAATTAATGAAATCCTCAGTTAATGTTGAATTGTATTGCTATTAAAGAATCTCTTTATTTCAATACAATAGGTACTGAGAAGTGAAAAGGGAATTAATGTAAAGCAGTGGTGTAGAAATGAGTTCATATGATTTATTGTCATTTTTAACAGTTTTTGATTGTACAAAGCAGATAGTTTTTTCTCGGTAAATACAGCATGTTCTGCCAAATGCTCAAAATGCTTTATTGTTTCCCTGTTCAGGTACAGTGAAGGAGAGATCCGGTTCAACCTAATGGCCATCGTGTCAGACAGGAAGATGATATACGAGAGAAAGATCGCAGAGCTCCAGACCCAGCTTACTGAGGTGAGTGGTAGCAAAAAAAGAGAATAATTGATGGCATAGAGTAGTTTACTTTCTCCCTGTGAGGCTAAATGTGAAATGCATCAGATCAAAAAGTTAGGGATTATAATCAAACAAACGAACAAAACATTTTCTTGCCGTCATATTCGTCCACAACACATGCAGTGTAGGATACGACTGCTTTGGGTTTAAATAAATGATTGTGTAGTAATTTAAATTGCCACGTTTTTTTCAACATTAAGAAAATGACACTGATTGTTCTGAATGAGAGTCGTTTAAGGAGAATACGAGATAACACTACTATTGATCACAGATGTCTTTTACATTATAAAAAGGTAGTGACATTTATTCGATAAAAGGAATCTTGAGAATAAGGCGGATGTCTAATAACAGTCCAGCAATAAGATTTAAATATAAAATATTTTCATTTGATCTCTTTAGAGAGGGGTCAAGGAATACATTTACCCCAAGCTCAAAGTCCTTGGCAGAGGATTAATTACCAATTAACTTATTGAAATGACCCAAAAGAGCTGGTAATATTCTCTAAATGCTAAGGAAAGGTGTTCTAATGCTTCATTCTCTGTCT